GTCAGCCTTCCTGCTCCTCTGATGCTGCTTGGCCTGCTGTGTTCATCCAGCTCTACACCTTGTTATCTCAGATTCTCCAGCATCTGCAGTTCCTACTATCTCCAAAACTATGTGTGAATTATATGTCTAGTTTTAACTAGACTAATAAAGTTGGTGGCTAGTTGATACAGATTTGATTGTTTTCGTCTTTGCGCTGAGCGAATAATTGTTGTCAAGGGTGGTAACCAAGCAACAGAGCAAATGAGCAGCCCTGAAATGTAGCCTGATTCAACGCATGAGCTGCGTGCCTGAGCCTGCACACAAACTGCAATGAGAGGCGCTGATGTGTTCCAAAGTGTAGCATTGAAGTGTTGTAAATGCACTGTAAACATGCTACAATGAAGAAGGGAGGCTGGCATGTGTTGGACTCCAGTGCCCATAGATAGAGGGTGCGTACAGCCGCCACGGCCGGTAGAAAGTGTCCTGAGACCTTGGTGCCATGAGGTCAGAAGTCACACAACACCAGGTTATAGTCCAACAGGTTTATTTGAAATCACAAGCTTTCGAAGCACTGCTCCTTCGTCAGGTGAAGTGATGAAGGAGTGGCGCTCTGAAGGCTTGCGATTTCAAATAAATCTCCATGTTATCCGTAGAATCCCTACAATGCAGAAACAGACCATTTGGCCCAATGAGTCCACACTGACCCTCTGAAGAGCACCCCACCCAGACGCATCCCCCAACCCTATCCCTGTAACCCTGCATTTCCCATGGCTAACACACCTAACCTACACATCCCTGGACACTACAGAATAATTTAGCACAGCCAATCTACCTAACCTGCACACCTTTGGACTGTAGGAAGTAGCTGGAGCATCTGGAGTAAACCCACACAGACACAGGGAGAGTGTGCAAACTCCACATAGACACTTGCCTGATGCTGGAATCAAACTTGGGTATCTGGCACTGTGAAACAGCAGTGCCAAACACAGAGCCACTGTGCCACCCCATGTTGGACTATAACCTGGTGTCTTGTGACTTCTGACCTTGTTCACCCCAGTCCAACATCAGCACCTCCACATCATTGGTGCCATGAAATTAAGGTAGAGATCTTGCAAGTTGGAGTCACCCAGTACTCGTCCTGACTTTCAGGTCAGGAATTCATCGCAACTAGTTTCTATTTGTCGTGTGGTAAAATGGGACCGTGCAAATAAATGAGGCGAGATAAGGTTGCAATGAGGGTGATATTGAGTAATAGTCCCCATTCATAGGCCCCTTACCACTCACTATTTAGAATCATCATAGAACCCCCTACAATGCAGGTCATTCAGCCCATTGAGTCCACATCAACCCTCTGAAGGGCATCCCACCCAGACTCAGTACCCACTACCCTATCACCCTAAATTTCCCCATGGTTAATCCACCTAACCTGCATAACACTGGACACTACAGGGCAATTTCCCATGGCCAACCCACCCAGCCTGCACATCTTTAGACTACAGGAAGAAACTGGAACACCCAGAGGAAACCCATGCAGACACAGGGAGAATGTGCAAACTCCACACAGATAGTTGCCCAAGGGTGGGATTGAAACCTAGACCCTGGCGCGTTGAGGTAGCAGTGCTAACCACTGAGCCACTTCTCCAAACCTCCTCTGGCTATGCAGGATTCTGTGAGATAAGTCACTTTTCATAATATTCAAAGTTTCATACCTTCAAAGGTCTCAACTTTAACTAGTTTTCGAACAGTTCCAGTTCCATCATCTGTCTTCATCCATATAACAAGCTTATCCTTTGGACTTCCTGTCATTTTATAGAAGAACTGAAGGCATTGCTCAGTCCTCTTGGGATAAAGGATTCGGGATTCCAGAACAGCAGTTTGATCAGTCGGTCCTGTCTGCGTATCAAAATACATAAAGTATCCAGAATCTAAAACATGAAGGATAGCAAGAGAAGAAAATTGAATCGTTCTTCAACATCATATTAAAGGGGCTTTACATCTGAGAAAAGTTAAGATGTAACAATTGTCAGTGATAAGGTTGGGGGTAGGTTAAGTTTCACACTTCTACATCTGGCACAATCATCAAGAGGAAACACGCAACAGAATCAAAACAATTTAGACAAAGAAAACACATTCCTTGCAGAAAATCTGAAGATTGTGCTGAAGATCTGATGACTCTTTAGGAGTCCCTCATAATGAGGTGGATGCTAGCCACAGATCACAGCCCAGGGCAAGAGCTGGGCTTCTAACATGAGGAGGCTGTTGCACTGCAGCTACCATGGTTCTGGATGACCAGGACTGTTTCCTGCCATACACAAATCAGAATATTTCATAATAATCAACGTACTTGTACAACAACTACTCTTTATATTTATGCAGCACCTTTAGCACAATAAAATGTTCAAAACATTTCACAGGGTTGTTATAAAATAAAATTTGACACTGAGCCACATTTGGAGATATCTAGAATCACAGAATCCCTACAGTGTTGAAGCAGACCATTCAGCCCATGTGGATCCCCTAAAGAGCATCCCACCCAGACCCAGTGCTGTATTGTCAATGACCAATCCACCTGACCAGCACATCTTTGGACTGTGGGAGAAAACCAGAGCACCCAGAGGAAGCCCATGCAGACACAGGGAGAATGTGCAAACTCCATACAGACAGTCTCCCAAGGCTGGGATAGAACCCAGGGTCCTGCTGCTGTGAGGCAGCAGTGTTAACCACTGAGCCACCATGCCATCCCTTACTTGACCTGATAACCAGGTGAGACCTGTTCAACCCTGCTGGACGACAGTGTTGGAGAAAGATGTATGGTCAAACCTATCAAAGATTGCAGACTCATCAGGAATCATGAGGAAGAAAAACATACTTTTGTCACAGGATGTCATTTTATTTACTTTGAGAAGGGGTGTGTTATGTATTATAGCAGAGGCAGAATCCTGATTTGAGTAATACAAGTACGAGTATACAGGAAAGATACAGCGGAACAAAACCTGTTTCAGTCAAAAGGTATGAAATATTACCACAAAGTCATGTTTCAGTAGTTAGATCATAGATAGCAAGAGCAAACATGTGCAAATTGACTGCACTAAATGGACACCATAGAGAGATCAGGAGATAATATTCTATAATAATAAGCTGTTAAAGAAAGTCAGGGAAGCAGTTGCAGATACTTACTTCTTGAGGATAAAGATGGGGAATATGTTCACTCAAGTGACAAAAAATCAGAAGAGAAAGGACAAAAGGAAGATGGACAACAATGCGAAAGGGACCCTGCCCAACTCTGAACAAAAGTGAACACAAGTAAATGTCTTTGAGTGCATGAAATCTTCAATCTGTAAGGATTGTGACTTATTATTTTAAGTTATTTAAAAATCTGTAGACTGAAATGAGAAACAGCTGCTTTAGTTAGAAAGTGTTTAAGATGGTGTTTGCAGTTTTGAAAAGTAAGGAACGTGATGCATATAGCAGGCATCATAAACAGCTAAACAACCCATAATTGGGGTACAATTGCAGACAATTTGGAGTCGAGGGCGTGTACAGATGCACGTTTTGATTTGGCCACAGGAAGCTGATTGAATTATGGATCAAAGCCAAATCTTTTATCACCTGACAACAGCTGCATGATGGGCTGGGAACAAATTAGAGAGAGAAAGAAGTGTTCAGTTCTTCTGGGAGCAGTCTCTTTATTTCCTACAGTCAAAACTCAATGTATACACGGAGAAAACCAGTTTATCTTTCCTGCAACAGATGTTTTTAAGTTGTGACTTTTAATTAATATGTCAGAGACTTTTTATAAGGGAACCGGTTACCTTGTGTCTCTTACCATTGAGTGGAAGACAATTGAAGGTATGTCCTGGCCAGGTGTAAAGTCTTAAGGATGATCCCAACAACAGAACCTGGGAAAAAGAAATTACTGAACCGTTTCCTCCTCTGCCCGTAACCCATTTTCCCTTTGACTGTCTGTCTGTCTGTATGTAAGAGGGAGTTTTTAATGGGATTAGAATTTAACTAGGAGTATTATACGCTGACACTTTATAACTGTTTACCTGTAGCCAGAGTCTAATTACTTATAATAAATCGTGACTCTTGTTCAATGTGGAAACCTGATCCATGCTTTCTAGCAATCTGAGTCTGAAAGTCAGGTAAATCTGGGAAATTTGTGTACTGTATCAAACCTTTAACTTTTGAGATGTCTTCAGGAATAGTGGGGCCTGATTTCCAGCAAGTTACTCCAATGAGTTTTAACAGGGCACTTCACAAAAAAATTTTTAAAGCAACAGGTGTCAATCCTCACAGCTCAGTCTCCTAACGCTTAAGAGAAACGACCAGATAAAGTGTTAACATGCTAACACAATGTGCAAAGTTTCTTGAAATGCTTTTGAATTTCATCATTGAGCAAAGTTTTTCATCATTAAATTAAGTACTTTAATTCATCTCTCTTTGCACTCAGATAATAGTCATTTAAAATGAGGCAACATTTTATTCGGCACTGTTACTAAAATAACAGTTGTCAACACTTGTTATCAGTACCTTGTCATTTGTACTTGGAAAATAAATCAAAGTCAAGCAAGATATCAGATATCATCCAAAAAAGAATTATATTGTTTTATCAGCTTGAAGCTGGGTCTTCTTTTGCACTTTGAATCAACGTATGACTTAACAACATTCAAGTTTTATTTTTGTGATAAGGGTATTCTGTAAAATAATCATTCCAATCTAAATCCAGTTCTTATATCAGTTCTTGAAATAAAACACAATAACGCATCGTCAACATGCTCATTTTTAAATCCAAAGGTCTTGAGTTCAACTTCAACTTCAGGAATTGAGCACAAAATCTAAGATCACATTTCAGTTTAATACAGAATAAATTTTGTATTTCCAGTGATGCTATCTTTCAAATGAAGCACTGGATATCATATGAGTTCTTTGATGTACTTACAAAATCTGTTGGCACTGTTCAAAAAACTAACAAAGGTTGTCTGAGTGGAGAGACCAATATTTAACCCTTAGATAACAAGGACCAATCTAGATAATTGGATCACTTATACCATTGTTTTGCATGTATTGATTACTAAAATTGTGTGCAAACAACAGCAACACAGTTCAAGTGCAATTGACTGCAAAACGCTTCAGAATGTGCTGAGAATGCATAAAATACTCCATAAATTCAAAGTCTTTTTCCCTGGGTAGACCTGAGTGCCAGAATTCATATCTAATTGAAATTGACTGGATTACCTGAGTAAGGGGAAAGATCTCCAACTGTCCATTACATATAGTGAAATTAAAAACAATTATTTTGCAGATAACTAGGTGTGGAGCTGGATGAACACAGCAGGCCAAGCAGCATCAGAGGAGCAGGAAAGCTGACATTTCGGGCCTAGACCCTTCTTCAGGAAATGCTCCTCTGATGCTGCTTGGCCTGCTGTGTTCATCCAGCTCCACACCCTGTTATCTCAGATTCTCCAGCATCTGCAGTTCCTACTATCTCTGAAACAATTATTTTGCACTTGTTTATGATTTTACTATGGTGGATTGTAGATCCTAACATTCAAGGCAATATGATAACTGGAAAATACAATGCCAGTAAAGTAAAAGCTCTTTTAAGATTGCTGTTATTGGGTGGAATTTTATTGCAGTACTGACTATTCCAATGCAGGACTGGAAATGAGCTGGGCATCAACTCAGAAACAGGATGGCTGGCCACACACAATCACTATGGTACCAGAAAATGAGGTATGTACAATTGAGGAGCCTGGCCAACAGTGTGGCAAGAACCAGTAGGAGTAGAAATTGAGTTGCCTTGTGTCTGGGACAATGGGGGTCATGCGGGTTCTACTAGAAGCTGGTAGGATATTTATTTCATATTGCCTCCTCATTTGGCTGATTGTGGAGTACAGTGTGGCGTAAGCTGCTGGTGTTTGCACAGACTATAGGGGTGTAAGCATGTGTAACACTGACATATGTTCTATCCTGTATCCAACTCTTTAAAGAGTTTAAACCTCTTTTGTACCTTTTTAAACCTCTTTAAAAAAGCTGCCCTGCAGGACTGATGGGTTCCATAAATTTGTATTGGAAAACTGAAGGTGAACAGAAACGGAGCACCAGGAACTGGAAAGGTCTACAAGAATCAATAAGACAACACTGGAAACATCAGTCAAGAAAGAAGACTGCAGGAGGCTATCGTTATTTTTTTTCATGTAGAGTAAAGGGCTAATGTTCAATTCTGTAAATAGCCAGCCTGTATAAGTAGTGATATAAGAGATCACTTGGCATAAGAATCTGGAGAGACATGATTCTGTGTGCAGCCTCCAGTAGTATAAATAGTTAGCAGAATGTTAATACCGAGGTTATCTTGAAAACAGCCTAGGCTCAGCGGTTTCTCTAAAACTTGCTAAGGACCCAACCTCTTCCAGGGCATGCCTCATGGGACTAGGAAGCTTCAAATGCCACCAAAGGTATTGGAACAAATGTTCAAGGTCGGAGGGCTGGTCAATGCTCAGAGGCTAACCATGAGAACCTGGCAACAATGTCTCAGGAAGTTTAATGATCTCACATGCAAAGCAAAGCGCAGTGAATGAATCCTCACTTCACAGTTCAGACTCAAGAGGCCACCAGCTTCTCACACTGCTCGGCTACAACACCCGCGTAAAGCAACTAAAAGCACTCACAAGGAGTCAAGACTCATATTTAACATTCAAAGGCTTGTTCTCATCCACACACACTTTCCAATGATGCCCACCTCATGCCTACTTCTTGCCGCGAATGTACCTCCATCTCTACTTTCAAGGGAGGAGAATCTAAAGGCCCAAGATGCAAATGTATGGAAATAAAGTAGTCGCCACCAGGGGCAGGAACAGAAATTATGGGCCCCAGTGCTTCTCCTAGCCTAAGCCTCAGGCCCTCTCCTCCCAACTCAAACACGGAGGCTCTATCCATGCCTGATAACAGCAGCCCCAACCCCAACCAGAGAACAACAGGTTTGCCAGAGACCAAGGTCCCAGTTAGTGGGCCCTGATGTATAGCCCGTCACAGACACCCATTACAGTTTAATAGTGGGATTCCAAAGTCATCCATAAAGCTGAAGGGGAAAATTGGAAAATGTTTGCTTGACGTCAAGATTCCCAGTTTTACATTCTCATTGTATGTTCCATGAGAAGTTCCAAAAGATGTTGGTGTGTTTGCTGAGCTGGGAGGTTTGATAGCAGATATTTCATCCCCTTACTGGGTGACATCCTCAGTGCTGTGGAGCCTCCTGTGAAGCTGTTGTCTTGTGCTGGTTTGAATTTATATATGGTCCGGTTTTTGCTGCTTCCAGTAGGTGCCAGTTCCAGTTGTGCATTGTAATGGTCGGTATATCGGGTCTAATTCCGTGTGTTTGTCCATGGAGTCCGTGGATGAATGCCAAGCCTCCAAGAATTCCCTGGCTGTCCTCTGTTTGGCTTGTCCTATGATAGTAGCGTTGTTCCAGTTGAAAGTGCAGTTTTTCTCGTCTGTGTGTATTGAAACCAAGGACATCTGGTCGTGTCGTTTAGTTGTTAGTTGTTGTCTGTGGATGCGGGTTTCTAGTTGTCTGCCTGTTTGTCTCACATAGTGTTTTGTGCAGTCTCCACGTGGTATCTTGTAAACCACATTCGTCCTGTCCATGGTATCTACCGGGTCTTTAACCGCGGTCAGTTGCTGTTGGTTTGTGTGCTGTCATGATTCCTAGCAGTCTGAGTAGTCTGGCCGTCAGTTCGGAGGTGTTTTTTATATATGGTATGATGGTTATTGTTTTGGGTTTTGGTGTGTCCGGGCTGTGTTGTCTATTGGCTAGGCATCTGTCGATGAAGCTGTGGGGGTATCCATTCCTGGTAAAGACCTTGTAGAGGTGTTCTTCTTCTTCCTTCTGCAGATCGGGTGTGCTGCAGTGTGTAGCGGCCCTTTTGAACAGGACAAGCCAAACAGAGGACAGCCAGGGAATTCTTGGAGGCTTGGCATTCATCCACAGATTCCATCAACAAACACATTGAATTAGACCCAACCGACCATTACAACGCACAACCAGAACCGGCACCTACCGGAAGCAAAAAAAACCGAACCATATATAAATGCAAACCAGCACAAGGCAACAGTGCTTCACAGGAGGCTCCACAGCATTGAGGATGTCACCCATTAAGGGAATGAAACATCTGCTATCAAACCTCCCAGCTCAGCAAACACACCAACATCTACAACCAGCAACTGAGCTACAAATCTTCACTCAAACCCTGAACAAGCTGCAGCTGTTGATGTTAATACTCTATTGATAAGCAGTATTGGAAAGTATAAAAAAGGTAAAGTGTACACCTACCTCTGCATTTGTCGTTTACAGTATGATCCTCATTTCCAGGATTGCTCTTCATATGAACCCAATCAGCATCTTCATTTTCACCCTGAATCATGCCACAGATATTAATGAACTCAAAGGAACATTGGTCCAACAGTGTGAGAGTGGAACCTGAAAAAAGATACGCAAGAAAATGGATTTAATGAATTATTCTTTAAGTGCTGAACTCTCTCCAGAGTACTTTTATTCCAAGTAAAGACTGAAAACTGAACTTACTGCAGTTATACATGCGATTTAGCCTTAGCAAATCAATAGCACTGAAGTCCAATTGCTGTCCAATTATTTCATCAAATGCTGGTATCTTTGCTGTGATAGTAGGAAAACTGTCGTTTTTGTTGAAAGAGAATGGTGCATAATGCATCACAGATTCATAGTCATATGGAGTATTCAGGTCTGTAATGTAACTATCATCATATACCACAAAATTCTGCTCCATACCTACATAAAAGTGAAAATTTCTTGATTAGATTTTAGATACACTCTATCAGATGTTGAGTTATTACATCAATAGTTATGGATTCCCACCTCCTTTCACAACTCGTGGCCATTCCATGCCCAACAGAGTTGGGAAGAATTCAAGCGAATTCAAAAGAATCATATGTCTTTAGTCAGTGCAGATTCCCTAATAAGATGAACATTGCTGGGCACTCACAAATCTCCCAGAAGCTTGTTCAAAATTAAATCCTGCATGTGTTAAATGATCTGCTTTAACTCTTTCGAAAGAGGAGAAGGGAAAATGTCTAAGATGAGATAGTAAAATTAAGTTGGATCTATGCAATGTAATGCTTCATGAACAATGTTATGGACTCTCATCTTTAAACCTGGATGTGGGAAGGTTCAAGTCTTGAAGCATTTATGGACCATCAGTGCAGCACTGAGCCAGTGCTGCATTGTTAAAGATGGTAATACATGTTTTTTTCAAAAACACTTGTGATTTTTTTATACAATGCAGAAATTTGGCATAAATCCATATATTATTTTTCAGCAATAATTGTGAACATTGCAATCTGCTTAAATTAAATTCTACTTCATTCAAAAGGATATATATTTTTCGAGGGATTTTATACTGACATCATTAGCATAAAAGGTGAGTTCTCATCAGATCAGTAACGTCTAATTATTTGTAACATAGAAGTAGATCAACAATTTACCGACAGGAAAACCAAGAATCCCTAAAACAACATCTAACATTCTGTGTTTAACTGCATGGACTCCAGAAGTTTCAGAAGCATAATGATGTCACTAACAGTTTTAACATTATTACTATGATAAAATCTGGGCCAATACATTTTCAGAGACATGTGTTTTGCATTTTGACTGTAGCAGGTTTTAGTGAGTGGTTTCATTTCATTTCAGCCCATAGTAGAGAAGAATACTGCCATTTCTGAAATTTGTACTTGGTCTGGCAACTGGTTACTACCAATTGCCACTTTGGTCTGTTCGCTTGAATCTCCTTTACAGCAAATTTAGAGCAGAGGCTCCAAGCCATCATTTACTTCATTCTCAAAGGTGAGAAATTTTTAACTCATTCGTATTTTTTTTAAATAAGCTGCTACACAGCTCAGACCTTTACTGACAGAATATATAGATGTCCCTATAATTGAAAAGAATGAAAATTTGAAATCCAACCTGGAATAATTTCATCCCACCAAATGTTAACATAGTCATCCCGGTCTGTCCTTGATTGTTCATGGTAGAATCCTAACGCATGTAGGAGTTCATGTTCGACAATAGCCTTATAGTCACATTGTTCACCAATGGATATAGTTTGGCCACTGTGCAAGGCACCAATAAAAGACCAGCACCTGTTCAATAAAGATATTTTTAGTAGTTTATATATAAAGGAAGGCTTACATTTATATAGCACCTTTAACTTCAGCTCTGCCGGGATCACTGAGCTCTTGACCTCATTACAGCCTTGGTCCAAGCAATGACAGAAGAGTTGAACTCCAGAGGTGAAGTGAGAGTGACTGCTCCTGACATTAAGGTGGCATTTGATTGAGTGTTTTATCAAGGGGCCCTAGCAAAACTTAAGTCAATAGGAATCAGGGGAAAACTCCCATTTGGTTGGAATCATACCTGGCTCAAAGGTTGTGGTTGTTGGAGATCAATCATCACAGTCTCAGTACATCACTGCAGGTGTTCCTTTGGGTGGTGTCTGAGACCCAACAATCTTTCTTTTTGTCATCAATGACTTTCCCTCCAACATAAGGTCAGAAGTGGTGTGTTTGTTGGCGATTCACCTGCACATCTGCCAATGTGGTATACTGCATCCGCTGTACCCGTTGTGGCCTCCTCTACATTGGGGAAACCAAGCGGAGGCTCGGGGACCGCTTTGCAGAACACCTACGCTCGGTTCGCAATAAACAACTGCACCTCCCAGTCGCAAACCATTTCAACTCCCCCTCCCATTCCTCAGATGACATGTCCATCCTGGGACTCCTGCAGTGCCACAACGATGCCACCCGAAGGTTGCAGGAACAGCAACTCATATTCCGCTTGGGAACCCTGCAGCCCAATGGTATCAATGTGGATTTCACAAGTTTCAAAATCTCCCCTCCCCCCACCGCATCCCAAAACCAGTCCAACTCGTCCCTGCCTCCCTAACCTGTTCTTCCTCCCACCTATCCCCTCCTCCCACCCCAAGCCGCACCTCCATCTCCTACCGACCAACCTCATCCCGCCCCCTTGACCTGTCCGTCCTCCCTGGACTGACCTATCCCCTTCCTAACTCCCTACCTACACTCACCTTT